AAACCTTCTTATGCATAAAGAGGACAGTCTGTAACAAGTGTCACAAGTAATCATCTCCTATAACCACTTGATAATTTCTACATACATTCCTTCAGAAGGGAAAAGGCAGTTGATGATGTCCATTGCTTCCCCCCAGCACATCTAGACATTTTGCAAACACAGTGGCATGCCCTTGCTGCTCAACTGCAAATCCCATTCTATAAACTTTTTAATGGATCTTGGATTCCTACTGTCCTCAGCAAGGATACAGGTTCATTGATGAAAAATCACCCTTCTCTATGGTTTCACCTCTATTCAGCATTAGCTTGTTAATGGGAGAAATGTTTATAATTTGATCATCTCTTGCATATTAGAGCTCTACTAACATGTTTTTCTACTGTCCTTGGCTGGAATAGAGCTCATTTCCTTCAGAGTAGTTGGTATGAAGCTGTGTTTTTGATTTGTGCTGGAAACAGCATGGATAATTCAGGGATGTTTTCCTTACTGCTGAGGAGCACTGATGCGGAGTCAAGGCTGTTTCTGCTTCTCACTCCACCTCGCCATTCATGGGGCTGGGGGTGCATAAGTTGGGAGCTGGGTGGGGACACAACTGGGACAGCTGATCCCAACCGACCCCAGGGATATCTCATATGGTGTCCTGCTCAATACACAGAGTTGGGGGAAGAAAAAGGAGGAAGCGGGGGGACATTTGGAGTAACAGTGTTTGTATTCCCAAGACATCATTACTTGAGCCCTGCTCTCCTGAGGATGGCTGAACACCATGGGATGCTGGGGATGACTGCCCATGGGAAGTAGTGAATTAATTCCTTGTTTTGCTTTGTTTGTGAATGTGGCTTTTTCTTTACTTATACATCTCTACCCACAAGTTTTCTCACTTTCACACTTCAGATTCTCTCCCCTATCCTGCTCAAAGTGAGCGAGCAACTCTGTGGGGCTGAGGTCCTGACTGGGGTTAAACCACAACAGTTTTCCTTAGTAAAGGGAATTTAAAAGCTACATGAATGTGTTTGAAATGGGTGAACATTGATGTAAATAAAAGTGAGCTGAAGATGGGAGCAAGAATCTGATCTGAAAGAATTTAGATCTGAAAAGGCATGTCTGCAGTTAATTTCCACTGAAGTCAGCACAAGCACTCTGTGCTAAGGAGCAGGGTTGCTAAATCCAAGTATATTCTGAGAAAGTCCCCACTGATCACAGCACTAGAAATCATGCCATCCATAAAAATCTTCTTAAATCAAATATGGGGATGTAAGGCTCTGTGCAAGAACAAAACTACAAAGCTATAGTATAATAAGCAATTTACATTCCATTATAACCTATTTAATATATCTATCTGCTGATTCTAGGCTAACATGTCTTCCAATTCATTTTCATATTGCTGACAGGTCACCTAATTTCACACTGGCCTGTCTTCCTAGCAGAAGCTCCTTTTTGAAGCATAGCACATTCAATCCTATGCTTCAAGTCCCTCCCAATAACTGTTTCCATTCTTCCCTAATGCAAACTCCTTGACAAAATAAAACTATTCACAGAAATTTCTGTGAACAGGCAATGAAACGTTAAAAACCAGAAACTTTTGTTGGTGCCCTTGATCATAGGGTAGGATTCAAAATTCACTGAAATTTGTGACTTTTTTCATTGGCTGCTTCATACGTGTGAATGTAGGAATATGCTTATATTTAAATTCCAGACTACAAACCAGTTGGAGAAGGTTTTTATTGATTTACCAGCCCTTGTGGATCATCTCCAGTGTCCACTGACACCAGTGCCATGAGATCATGTGTACAATGTCAACACCAGCTCTAAGAAATCTTTACCTGAAAAACATCTTTCCTAATACATATTTAATAAATTCAACAGCTGGCATCATTTTCACAAGCCAGTCTGCTGTTCATTTCCAGAGTGTTACAGCTGTTTTAATAACAGCATATTAATAGCTATCTACAAATGTCAAAATATAAAAATCTCAGAGAAGACATAAAGGATAACTATACATGCAATGAATGTGTATATATATGCTTAGTGGAGTCTGCTGATAGAAAAATATTTCCACTGATGGGGGAAAAAAAGTCCTAACAGGAGAGCAGCAAGGTGTCCTGGCAAAAATGAGGACATTAACTACTCCTTCCTGAGGAGCTTTTAATGGCTCAGTTAAAGGCCACAGCCCTGCTTTCCCCCATGCATGCTGAAACCAGATCTACCTGCAAAAGAGTGTCCATAAGGCTGGTCTCACTGTGTAACTGGCATAGCACTGCTTCTCTTCAGAAGGTGAGAATTTGAGATTTGAGATTTTATCTGTATAGCAAAATGTTATCAGTGGTAGAAGATGAGATCACCGTCTGTTAGAATGGATACACCTGAAGTGAGGGAATATTTCATTCTTATGTAAGAAAATGGAGAGTCTGTGATTTAGATGGGATTGAGACATTGTCCAGTTTATGACACCTGGATTTAAATGTCTGCATGGGAACTATGTGTCAAAGCTGCCATGGAGCTCTGGGGCCCCTTCATTTAACAAGGCCAGCACCCTTGTAAATCCCCTGCCAGGCACATTCAGCTCTCAGCTGTCATAATCAAAGAATGGAGTGTCTCACAAGTGTTCAGGCATTTTGGCCAACCCAGTACGCCTATACTGCATGCCCTAAGAACACTTCAAATGGCATAAAGTACCTATTTGTAGGCAGGGGAAACCACTCCCTCTTGACACACTCAGTGACATTTATGGTACAACTGATTAAAGGCCGGTGTCTACTTCACTGCAGTGGTCAATTCTCCTGGACCCATTGGTCCTGGAAGTGGAATAAATCCATCCTACATCTTGTACAAGAGATTCTTAAGGTAGGTGAACTGTTGTGACGTTCAATCCTACAAAAAGGGTTTGATTCAGTTGTCCATATACAGGCATGAAATGCTATTTGAGAAGATATTTCACTAAGGCTGATAAATACTACAATGGACCTACCTTTCTGAGCAGCAGCTGGAGGCCATATAAGTAACCCAAAGGAATCTAAAATGGCTCCATGTGCTTTTCTTTGTGTGAGCAAATGAACCAACAATTTTTAACAGCCTTAAGAATTCTACAAGAACTAATAATATTTTTAAAATAATATGGCTTGTAATTAATATTACCACTGCCTATGGAAGCTTCAGGAAGTTGTCCAATTTGCTCACAACTTAGAATACTGGTCCTTTGTTACATCAAAACAATTAAGTAGGATCAATCGACTTCATTAGTCTTTTAAAGCAACCTTTCATCTTGTGGTACTCTCTTCTAACAAGTGACATTTTTGCCCAAAAACTAATCTTATAAGGTAAGCCATTTACAAGTCTCTGTTTCGGCTTAAGAGAGTGGTACTAAAAAACACACTGCTCTGTAGCTAAATGTCATATTTAGGTTACTCTATTAGTTTTTGTTCTGTTTTGTTTTTTTTCATTAAACCATTCCTTAAAAAAAAATTCTAGCCACAATTTGTCCTTTAAATTGTTAAACTTAGTACATTTCTTTTAGAAGTTAGTTGTTCTTGTTGCAAGAATTTTCTCCTTGACACCCTAAGTATTATGTGAATACTCCTTGCAAGCAATCTCCCAGTAATTATATTGTACCTTTTAACTAAAGGTAAAATAATTTTTAAAGTTTTAATGACACATCTCTCTGAGTTAAATAAATGTTACACCATTATAAAGAAAGTCAAACTGAAATACCAACACTAATACTGGTATTTTACTGAAATCCAGAAAGTTAGACCCACACGTCTGTTAGAATGGATACATTCTAACATTATCTGCATAAATGGTCAGTTTTGCATCTCCGCTTCCTAACGCCCCTGGGAGCTGCAGGCTGCGTATTACATTGGGCTATCTCAGCTCATGGAACAGAATCCCTTCATAGTAGATACTATAAAACACTGAGTAGAAAAAAAACTCTGAGCCTAAACAATAAATAGGAACTATGTGCACAAAGTCTGGAGAGGTTGAAGTAAGGATAAGGCTTCTGAGTGAAGCGGTAAAGGATTTTCAAAGAATCAAAGGAAATAGTTACAGGCAAGAGAAAGAAGTACACTTTTCACCTCTGTATCTAGAACTGACTACAAAACAAGATCAAATTGGCTTAGCTAACTAAAGGGTACAGAAGTTCAACTGAGGTCTGCCTGGAGAGGGTGACAAATTAGAGAGATCAACTTGACATATTTGAAGTAATAGAGTTCTATATTAGAGATTATATAATAAGAAATTTCCTCTGACATTATAGTCATTTTCAGGCCTAGATTCCCAGGCAGAGCTCAAAAAAATTCTCGTTTCTTCATAGTCTAATATCTAAAATGGCAGCAAGTTTTTTCCCTAATAGACTGGACACTTTCTACTCCTTTTACAAGGTATGAAAAATTTTATCACAGAAGCTCTCTTATTTTTGCCAAGTTTATGAAAAATCAAGCTTTGTATTTCTTTTGTCAAATATTTACATTCCATTAGTTTTAAATTATATTCTGTATTCTACATAGATTGTTTTCAACAAACATTTTCATTACCAAATATATGTAGAACAAAAGTACTTTGGTTTTATGGAACTCTTTCCTTTTTCCTATATTCTTCAGTTCCGTGCTCTCATGTTTGAGAATCAAGAATGTGTATGATACCTCTGAAAATAAGGTGGACTCAGATACGTCTTTCAATGTCTACCCCAAGGTAATTTGTCCAGAAAAAACAATAAATTTGTAAAGAAATAAAAAAAAAATTGTCTAGATAAAACTTACAGTTATTGTCATGCATGATTTTCCCCCTAAAATTTTCTGTATATTATGGGTTCAAATGAAGGTCTGCATCTGCATTAGTAAAACTGTGCATCTGGATTTCTAGTTACTGACAAATACATGTAAGCAGACTATTTTTTAATGTAATAATGAAATTCAAAAGGAACAGAGAAATGCCATGACAAAAACCTCTGTTTTAAATCTGATTTAAATAATAAATTTAAGTGAAAAACATAAGTCATTGTTACTCACCTACGATGAGTAAGAAAACTACCACTGACATGTCCTGAGCCATCACATCCTGGTGTTGGACATGACATTCCTTCCGTCTTCACTGACTTCCAAGAGAACTGTGAGCCATTTAGGTATCCATCCTTTTGCCTTTTGGCAGCAAGAGGACACCCTGATGCACTGCGATGGGATGCATATTTTCCAGTTATATGACCCTGACCATCACAGCCAGGAACTGGACATCTGTATAGCAGATAGATGAGATAAACTTTATTGTCTTGCCATTATATACCTGGTAGCCTCTACAACAAAGTTAAAATAAACCTGACATGAAAAGGAAAGAATAATCCTACACTGTAGTCACAGAAGCAGTCAAGATACTCTGTAGTGGGTAAAATTACAAGAAAAACTTTACAATTTGAAGAATAAAAATGTTCTTTGGCAAATTCTAAGGAGGCTAGCCAGTAGATACAGTCCCAGCTGTTGACATTATGTAATTCCAACTAAAGGACTGAGATACATATTCTAATTGCAGGTGTTTATCACAGTAAATATCACAGTGGAATTACAATATTTGCTACTGAGTTCTGATCAGCAACAAAATTTCCCATAAAACCCTTATAAGCATAAAATACTGCTTAGTTTAATCCTTGGTATATTTTATTTATAGGTATAAAACCCAAAGAAGACTTGTCTGAAGTCATGAAAAAGTCATGTATACACAGCTAGTTACGACGTGATCAGAGCAGCTAATAAGAAATGCTGAGCTCCTTTAAACACTCTTTGAATAGGGGTGATGATGTGAAACTATGTGCTACAGCCCAGAGACCAATTAAGGCAGTTCTGTACTCATCTGATGGTTTTCCTTACTTGGGAATCTCCCCATACATTTTCTCTGTATATTGCTCTGTACAGTCTATATACCAAATAACTAAGGTTAGAAGGAACAGGTTAGAATCTTCAAAGTGAAATGTTTAAATAAAATTATGTGTGTTTTTTGGTCTTTTTCAATGTGTTTCTTTGTAACACGTATCTAAACTAAAGGCCAATTACTTCACTGTTTGTGAAGTAAAATATTCTTGCAACTCTCCACTGAGGATCTGGTCCTGAATGGTCTAAGAAGTCACTAAATCAACCCAGTTCAATGGCCACTGATATCAGAGTGCCTTGCAAGAAGAAACCAAGACCCATAGGCCTTGTTTCTCTTGCAAACTGCATGAACAATCAGACTTGTTGCAGCAGTCTCATACACACACTCAGTTTTCTATTATTATTATTACTCAATTCAATTCCCATAACTACCTTTATTTAGCATGTGTGGTTTGCCTGTAGTATGCAAACATGTTTAAGGGGCATTTAGGAGATTAAGATCTAAGTGATTTTTTAGTATCATGTGAAAATGAAGAATTTTAAACTATTTCTAAATTACAGATGATTGTATCCTTGGCTAATGCTGTATCCTTTGCTGAAACAATCAGCACAGATACTAGATTTGCTCATAGAAATCAATGTGGTCATCTTCCCTTGGATAACTACCACACAATAACATTATGCCTTAAAAAAGCCTGAAGATATATAAGACCTTATAAAACATACAAAGGCCCTTTGACAATGTTTGTTCTCACCTAATTGGCTCTTGGTCTTCTTTGTCTTCCTTGCTTTGTGCTATCCTGATTCCACTTTTCTTTGCTCGTGGACAGCCTGAAAGACTGTGTGAAAGAAAACATTTTAGAATGAAACTTCTCATTCTTGGGCACACTTTACAGGAATACGCTTTCTATCAGAGAAACTGGCAAAATAGGCAATCCTATCCAGTTCCCACAATCAAATCTCAGGTGGGTTAAATAAGGAGAGCTGCAACAGCCAGCACAAGGGGGGGATGTACGCGTGGGTCTGTGATGCAGGACAGGACTGCTGGCACTGTGCAGACCACACACACAGGAACTCCCCAAGGAGTCAGGGAAGGCAGCTCTTAAACCCTCTGCCTGGTAATTCCTTCAGCTGACTCAGCAGCAGCACTAGCATCTTTAAAAGGAGTAGAAGTCAATGCTTCAGGGCTGAGAAACATCATGTCCTCTATGTCTGAGAAGGTTGGAAGAATAGGAAAAACAGGAGTAGATCTTCACAGGACTAAAGATTTCTCTCAGGAGCACTAGTAACATTATCAAACCTTCCCAAACATCACATAACAATTCTATAGAATGATTGAATAGAAATGTGAGAGAGCTCAAAGCTTTCAATGCCTTCCAGAGAAGGGGTTCAAGCGCTCAGAATTCACCCAGACAAAAAGATTTGGTAGAGACAAAGTTATATGTTAGGCTAACCAATGTTTCATATAACTAAAGACTGAGAACATTGTTTTCAACTACACAAGCTCATATGAAGAATTCATTATTGAAACCACTTAGTAAACTTGACAATGACCTTAACAGTTTTTCAAATATTTTTTTAGGTACTTGATATCTGAGGATACAATTATGGCTACCAACAAAATCATGCTTGGTCCTCTATTTAAATATTATTTCCATCTTAATTATCCACATTAAAAAAAGAAATCCACTAGTAGAACACCTGCAAGTGTTGACATGAGAGAGAAAGAATTGTCACCAAAGAAAAAATTCCCTAGAGAAAGAAACAAAATAGAAGATTAAATTTTTGTTTTCAGCATGAGGAAAGGTACTTGAATGTTGTTTAGGTCATGTCTTTGCTAAGAAGAGACAGAGTGATAACAAAATTTTCAGTTATTTTGTCTTGTCAAAACCAGTGAGGCCTGAGGGGAAGAAGCACAGAAAAAGGTGATGCAATCACAGACAGAATTCTGTGTTAGAAAATGAAGAACAGACCAGAGTTTACATGCTGCAAAGCCATAAATAAGTCAATTAAAGAAAGAGAGGAATGCTGGCATAGGATATTGGACATAGTACATTTTCTAGAAACTTTTAGTGAGAGGTCATGGCTACACCTACAGTGTTAAATAGAAAGGACCTAGAACTCTTGCTTTGACCCAAGACCAGAAAGTTCAGATTTGTACAGCTAAGCTCTCTATCTCTGCAAAGCAGGACAGCTACACCCATATTGTCTGTAAACAATGATCTGGACCCACACTGAGTCTCAAATCATATCTTAGAACTGCCTGGGAGACTTTTAGTGGCCCAGGGTCAGTGTCATGCCAGGAGTCATGTCAGCATTAGTGGAATAGGTATCTGCATTCTGATACATGGACCTACGCCCTCATCCCATTTCATTTTCTATTTTAAATATAACCAACCATTTTCCTTTAGAAAGCGAACTATTTATTCTAGCTTGTGTAGTGGACATCGAAGGACCTTGTTCCTTGTGTACAAACTAAATCTGAGAAAGCCTGTGCCAATTAAGAACAGTTTTCTTCAAAAATAATAACTTTGTCTGTAAGAAGGAGGTAGGAGGAAGAGAGTCTGAGGGATACAGAATAGAGGAAGCTGGCTCTGGGGAAGGGGAACAGTTCAGGAACAGGCTGGTTCACTGCCTGTCATGCAACCTGGTCTGCAGAAAGTGAAGGGCAGGGGACAGGAGTTAAAGACACTTCTCCTTTATCTTTGAGAGTAGTTGTTCTCACTGTGTGAGAATAATCAGAATTTGCATCTGAAAACTGAACAGTTAATAGGAATTCCTCAGAAAGCAGTACTTTTTTTAGTAGGTGTACAGATGGGTATGCTTGTAGATGATGACATTTTCATAACAAAATCTGAACAAAGAATTTCTGTCTTGACTAATGATTTAAGGCTTTCTACATATTAAATCAATTTAATTATCACCTACTTATTGGTGTTTTGGTGCATCATCTCTTTGGATCTTTCTATTCTGGTACTCTGATTTATTAGAAAATCCTAAGACTTTTCAGGTCCTCTAAACAGACATTTCCAACAGTTTCTGGGGCTGTGATTAATTCATTTTTCCTCTGACAGTGGATCCATTGAGAAAACATATGTCAAAGATGAGCCTTTAATTTTTTTATCCTGTAATACCCAAAGTTATTACAAGATAAACATAGCACTTCATTTTTCCTAAGACTTTAATTCCTCATATATGAAGACAAAAGACAAAGAGGGAAATTCAGCAGCAGTGCACACTGCTTTAACTTCTTGTATCAATTGAAGGGCTGTGTGGAACTGCAGAGCTAAATCTGCCTCATGTATGCCTGCTGTTGAGCAGCCATTTTAAATACCAGGGATACCCAGCAGCCACTTAGGAGAGAAGTCTGTCATTCCTTTCCTTCTGAAACAGAGAGGGTTATAACTGATGGTGTCAAATACAAACAAAAATGCTAACTCAGATGCAGGCAGAGCTAAATGCTAATTTTCAGTCTGGGAATTAGAAAGCCCAACTGACAACATGCTGTGGAGTCTTCCATGCTTAACAGCTCCAGATTTAGGCTACTGGTTTGCTGCCCTTTGAAAGCATTCATTTTGCCAGCCTTCCCACCTCAGAAACGGCCTTGACAGATATCATGATCTGAACAGGGCAAGGCTGGCTCTGTGTAAATGTGACAGGTCTCCTGAGGACATCTGTGGATTTAAGCAAAGAAAATGTTACTTCACTGACTACAAGTCAGTGCTTCTGTGCCTGCAGGCAGCCGATGACATGGCGTTGCCAGAGGACTTTTTGGAAGAGAAATGAAGGAGTTATGTGGTCAATATAGACATGGCAGCATTTCAAAAGGCTGCATGTGCTAAAGTCCAATGGACTGGGCAAATTCCAGATATGTTTGTTTTGTAGAACAACTTTTTATATCTTTATATGTAGTTGATTATGCTGCACAATCAAATGAAAACTTGGTCCAGCAGTCATCTGCAAAAATACAAGAATGTAAGAATTTATAGACAAAGGTAGTTAACACCATTCAGTTCATGGTCCAGTCATTTCATGGCTAGGAGACAGTGCACAAGGAAAAGGCTTAAAAAATGTATCACTATTCAGTGTTTCTCCCCAACCAACCTTGCCAGCTTTTAGGTCTCTTGTTAGTAACACTTTTCTTCTTTATCTTCACTCTCCCACCTGCTTCTGGTTAAATAGATGATCAAACACATAAATAGCTTCCCTGAAGTTGGGGTAGAGTTATAACAAGCATAATGCTGGTAGAGTAGTAGCTGATAAATTTACATATAATTAAATGTAGCTCTACATTTGGCCTTAAATTCCTCTGAAAGCATGATTAAATCTCTTGCATCATGTAAGTGCTTTTAAAATAGTTATAGCTTCTTCTTTATAATGTTATTTGTACTTTTGATGTTTAACATTGCATTACAGAAATTGATATTGTGATCTCTCATTTTCACAGCATGTAAAATATGGCATGTTCCCAATCTCTTTATTTATGTTTTGACTTTGAACTGTTTGCTGCTTTAGTGGGAAAACATTTAATCTGGGAATTTGTGTACTGACTAGTTATAGCCAGTTGTAAAACTGCAGGGACTTGGTGAAGAAAGCAAATATCCAGACTCAACAGTACTAGTCTGCATGGAGTAAAGAGTCTTTACTAACACAAGAGTGGTAGACTATACTATTATTCACTATTATTCTTTGATTAAACACTGGATAGATATTTACAAAATATGGCACAACTCTTCTCTACTGATTTAGTTCTTAAATAACCACAGGGGAATGACTAATTACACAGCATTTATACCATTACCTCTACAATGTAATTGATCAATATCCTAATTAGTGAGTGAGAAGCATTCTTTGGCCCTTGGTAAAGTTATAGTTTAGGCAGTTAAGACAGCTTTCATCCATAAATTTATTTTTCCTTTCTTCTGGCTTGATGTAGTACATAGTGCTGCAATTTAAGAACAAGCCAAACATTTTTCTGAAATGAACTAACAAGACTGGTGCATATTAGATAAAAGAGGTACTTTTTCCCTCTGATTATAGCTGATAAGGCTTCATCTGGGAGAGGAGATAAAGAACAGGAATATGGAAAGAGTCTGGAAGAGATGCCATGAACATTCAGGAAATACAGTTTGTGGGGAAAAGATCCAGGAGTAGGATTTGAGTCCAAACTGTGAAGAGTTAAAATGTTCAGAATGTAAAGCAACACAAACATAAATGTTGAATTGCTTCCTCAGCCTACTAGAGAAGGCAGAGAAAGTGAATTTATTTTTTATAAAGATTTTGTTAGATATTAGCAAAAATATTCATACTGATTTGGGTAGTGAGTCATGCTGAAGCTGAGAAATTATATTTATTAGTGGTTAATATGAGTTAGACCAATGTATGTCTGTGCAGCACTCAATCCTACTTCAGTATTCAGAGGGTGAAGTTAGGTCAGTTGAGCCACCTTCTAGCTCTGCAGTTATTTGATATAAATAACAAAACCTTGTCTTTACATACCTTCGATGAGAAGCATAATTTCCAGTAATATGCCCAGAGCCATCACACCCAGGGGTGGGACACCTAGAATAACAATGTAAGAGACACCCAGCAGTTACTGACAGGAAGGATACAAGTACCCATTTAAAGATATTAATTTGTTCAGTCCTTGTTTCTTCAGGTGCCAGCCTTTGGGACCCCTAACCATTGCTAAACCTGACCTTAATTCCACACCAGGAACAAACACAGCTTTTCCATTCATAAAGTGGTTTTGTTTGCTACTGAGCTGGCCACTCCAATACTTTCTGGATATCTCAAGTACTGGCAGATTAGCGGAGATTTCCCAGCAGTCCAACATCCCTACACCACCAGGAATGAATCGGGTTAACAGCAAATGGACTAAATTAGGCAATGGCTAGCACTGAGGTGAGGAATTTTCTTTCCCACTGGAGCTATTGCTCTAATCCCACTGCACAGTGTCATGAGGCCGCACCATGAAGAGACCCCTTCACCTCTCCATGAAGCAAAGGAAATGCCAAAGAAAAAGGAAGTGTGTAGACAGGGAAGTAATGCTGGCCTCTTGCAGAGATATGGTAACCCACCCAAACAGTCCAAAACAGCAGCTACAGCACCAGACAGAAATGGTAAAGCCCTCAGTAGAATTTCTAATAGGGAAACAACATTAGAACCATCAGAGAAAATGGATGGATTTTTCTACATTGCAAAGATGATTGCGATCATCACAGAAAAAGCTACATTATAATGCTAAGTAAAGTCATTAGCTGGTATTTGATCTGCTATACTAAATCAAAGAAAGGACAAATAATTAATTTGTGTGCATTTTACTGAACAGACAAATGAATTCCAAAAAGTCACTTTTCTTGAGCCTGAGTTTTGAATTTTAGCCATGCTATTTACATCTTCATTTGGAGACAGCATTCAAATTCAAAAAAGCTTGCTCACAAATTCAGATGTTGCATTCTAAAACATCAGATTTCCATAACACTGATTTTTTTCACTATTTGAATTAGGAGTTTATGAAGACTTTGGCTTTCATCCTTTAGTCACATGTGTGCTTTCTTCAAAGTTGGTCCATACTGGTAAGCTTTTAATTCACAAGGTTTCTACAGAGACTCAAACATTTCTTAAAGTCAGTAATTAAGCAATGCAGTGTTCAGTCCTATGCAGTTGTCATGTTCCATTAATCTGAATTTTAGCTGTTTTAAGCTAGCAAGCATTACCTATTTCTGAGGAGCTCAGCAGGGCCTGATTTCAAACATGATTATTGCTACCTTGAAAGATACAGATTAACCTGGAATGTATTCAAAGAAGTTCCCATATAGTCTTCATCTGGATCAGTTCAGTTCTTCTATAGAAAACATCAAAATATGGCAGCAGTTCTCAGATGTTAGCTGGTAAAACTTATACCAGCTAACAACATATAAAGTAACATATACTAATATATGTTACTATATATACACTAACTATGTTACTTTTATATACATACACTAACACTACAACACTGAGGCTTCTCTTCTCCATCCCGAACAGGCTGTGCACTTTGAACAAGAAATCTAAACAATGTGCTAAGAGACAATTATCCTTCCCTCTTGTTTGTCTTTGCACAGGACCAAATATATGACCGTGATCTTGCATGAAAGGTGTATATTAATGTGGCTCTTAAAGACCAACATACAGGTTGACATCACACATCAATTTTTCTGCTTATAGAAAGGTAAAGCCCATAATTTCTGCATAGATCCTTCTGATACCAATTAGGTAAAACTACGGTCCTTGATAAAGGAGTCATAACTCAGTCTGTATGCCTCTTGCCCTTCATTCTTTGTTGTGGTTGCACATAGCTAGCATAAACGTTGGTTATTTCTTTAAAAAATCAGTGGTCAGGGCATCTAATATGAAGGGTCTTATCATTTAAATACTCTATCTATATCTATGTATGTTTAATTTTAGGCAAATGTTTTGAGATCTACAGAGAGAAAATCTCTTGCTTCATGAGTTTTTTTTTTTTTATTGCTAGGTAGCTTCAGTGGTCTCCAATGCCTATTTCCACCAAGACTAGCTGCATCACTGAAGCCTGACTAAAGCCTCTAACGTGTTGAATCATAAGATATGGGGATAAGAATTAATTAAAGGAATTGACTACAATTTGGCTTTACATGTCCATGGCATGTAAACGAATAAAGGAGAACCTGGGGCTATGGGACTACTACTCTGCAGTCTGGTGTACTACAAGAATTTCTTCTTTATGACCCTGTGATTTGAAGCCACCATTCTCCTCTCCAGACTTTCTATCCCTTTGAGGATAAGCTATTAGCAAAACTGAAAAATGTTTTTTCTCATCTTTTCCAAGGCTTTTTGTTACAAGGAGCATGACTAATAGTGTCTTAAAAAGGATTTGTAAGAAGCACCAGTATATCCCATCCATCAGTCTTAAAATAAGACCATTTCACCTCAACCATCTGGACAGTCTTGCACAATTTAAAAAAATACCTTATTTCTGTGTCATTAAAAATAAAAATAAGCAACCAAAGCTAAAGAAGAAATAATCCTACTGTAAATTGAATTATATTCAGAAACAATTTTGTGCAGTTCATATCAGTTTAAAAATGTACTTTTGACTAAACCAGATAAGAGATTTATGTTGGCAAGGATTTCAGAAAGACCTTTCAAATTTTGATTTTGGTGCTATAATATTTGTTTTTAAATCTCATAAGTTTATATTTACCGTCATGTAACAGATGAAATGAGAGTTGAGTGCAGTTGGTAAGAACATTTTAAAACTCTGGAATGCTTATATTTCTGCTGTTTCCATTCTATGGGAAATTCTCTTAACAGTGTGACACAGAGGATGCAGATATGCACCAGTTTGTTACAATTTTGAAACTATTACAATATTTACTTGCTGTTGTAAACAGATAAGGAGACAACCCCAAGTCCTTGTACTATTAGAATTGGGATTCTGTATTTTCCAAATGTCTGAGCATATGTAGGGCTTGCATATACCTTACTACCTTGCTATCATTTACTACCTATGCATATATGATTTAATCATATGTATAAACAACAACACCAGAAAAATATATGCACTGCTTGTAGAGGCAGGTGATGTGAAACCCTCTGAAAATGACTATCAGAGTATGTGGAAAAAGAGAGCTGCAGTTTTCCTTGCTTACTGCAAGTAACTCTGATTTGGCAGGATCAGAAACTCATTTGTAGAATTTACATAATAGCTTATTGTAGCACAAGAAATACTTTAGTACTGCAATGAGGGAGGTGACAAGAGGAACTGACTCTGTGAAGAGTGGAGTTCAGGACATAGAATAGTAGCACTTGACTACAAATTCAGGGCATCCAGTAAAAGAAAGGGCTTGTCAGGGAAGGGGAATGCAGTTAGCAGTGCCTTGATGTCCCATTCATTTCACAGATCATCCCAGAGAAGCATTTTTGGGAAAATAAGCAGAATCAGGAAGTAGGGCAGGCAGCAGAACAGCAACAGCTGTGGCAGCTGGATTCAGTATTTGGCTTAGATTCAAGAGCAGGAGTAAAAAGGCTGAGAGTTAAATTGAGAAGACTACACTTAAGGCCTGCTACTGATTTTTCACTAGGGAAAGAATGAAGGTGTGCAGCAATTAAACTTCTGTCAGCTTGAAGAACTCAGGGAGGTTCCTGGGACTGGGAAAGAAATGGATGCAGTGCCCAAATCAGCTCTGTGAGGGGTTTTCCTAATGCCAGTGGTTAAAAGTCTTGTTGAAACCTCAGCTCACAAGACACCCCAGCTCTCAGCAGCATAGGGCACTACAAATAAGACCCATAATTAAACCTATATTCCTAGGTTTTTATCTAGGTCGACAGGAGCAAGATAAGCTTACATGTAATGTACAAAGATTTTCAGCTTTACTAGCATGAGAGCAAATAGGATTTTGCACAAAGTGTGAAGACAGAACTGCAAATTTTTTTCCTCATTATTGTGTATGACTTAGATTGACTTACTTTTTAAAATTATTTTAAAACATAGATTAGATTCAGAACATAGAGGTAAAACAAAGACATAAAAAACTTCTTCAACATTTTCATTTTTGTGCTGAGGATATTGGCTCCAATGAAAAGGAATTAAATCATCAATTTCTCTCACATTGGCCAATTGCAATGGTTTCCTACAGAATACCTTTCATGACCTGTCATTAAGAAGCTGCTGGATCAGCACAAAAGACTGATGGTACCTTTACTGTTTTGTTTATAACACTTAGTACCTACTATGCTGTGCATCCAATCTTCCCTTGTGAATGCATGTATCAATATTACAGTCTATCAGAGAGACTATCCTACAAAGCACAAATTAACTATTTAAGCAGATGTAGCTAGCAAAAGAAAAATCATATTGAATTGAACAGGGGAATAAATGGGAAAATTGTGCAAAAATTCCGAATGGTTCTCCATAATGTTCCACATGGCAAAAGAACTGGGATTAATAGAAAATTATATTTTCCCCATAGTTTTATTTTGACCATGCTGTCAATTTCTATAGTAGAGGTGTGATTTTCTATTGAAAATTCAGAAAGGCTAGAAAAATATAATTGTTTCCTGTGGGATTTTTTCATAGCAGGATGCAGAATTTTTTATTGTCTGGTGGTTTCCATCTATTTGAGATTCTGTTTTATTTGACTGAATCACTAGGAATGGAATTCATAGGTTGGGTGGCTGGAAGACAGACACAATAATACTTGCATTTCTGTTTTTTTTCTCAGGATCTGAGAGTACTTTAAAAACACTACTGGATAAAATTTCACAATACTGCTTTTAAAAAGGGAAGAATTTGGCAGAGCAAAATTGGACAATAAAGAGTCTAAATTACTTTACACAGAAGAGGAAAATATGCCAGAAATACAGATTCTTATTCACTGCTCTGTTTGCAGCTAAAAAGCTGTATGTCTTCTGAAACTGCATATAGATTCATAAACAAATTATTGTGGTTTGTTGCTATTTTTTTTTCTAGTGAGGTAGTCCCAAAACAAAAGGTTACAAAAGTAAAATTGGAAAGAAATTGTGTTTGCAATTTCCTGAAT